AAGTTGTATCGTTCACAAATACCAATTGAAATACACATTCTTTTATCACGGATTTCAGGTGATCGACATTTCGGCCAGTACTTTTTGGTAGTGAGTGTATAACACCAGCCAAGATTAAATTGTGCTTTAGTGTATCCTTGTTCAGCAGCTTTTGATACCATTCAACTGCCTTTTGTTCATCTTTTTCCACTCCAGTTCCATAACTATAACATGCACCAATATTATATATATACTGTGCTTTAGCATATCCTTGTTCAGCTGCTTTCTGATACCATTTAACTGCCTTTTGTTCATCTTTTTCTACTCCAATTCCATAATATTAATATAACACCAGCCAAGATTAAATTGTGCTTGAGCATATAATTGTTCAGCTGCCATTTGATACCATTCAACTGCCTTTTGTTCATCTTGTTCTACTCCAGTTCCAAACTCATAACACACACCAAGACTGCATTGTGCTTGAGCATATCCTTGTTCAGCAGCTTTTTGATACCATTCAACTGCTTTTTGCTCATCTTTTTCTATACCAGTCCCAAGTCCATAACACACACCAAGATTAGATTGTGCATTAGCATATCCCTGTTCAGCAGCTTTTTGATACCATTTAACTGCCTTTTGTTCATTCATTTCTATTCCAGTTCCATATTGAAAACACACACCAAGATTAAATTGTGCATTAGCATATCCTTGTTCAGCTGCTTTTTGATACCACTCAATTGTCCCTTTCTCTACTTCACATCCATACTGGTAACATTGTTCAGATGCATTCTTGGAAAGTATTTCATGTATAATAGAACTCATGTTTCATTTAATACAACAAACATCTACGTCAGACATAATAATGACGATAATTCATTTTTGTATGACGATTGGTTGGTAGTATCTCACCATCCAATCAAATATCATCTGACATAAAATTCTTCGTTCATCGGTCGTTATGCTATCTAGCAGATTGCCATATACACCCTGTTTCCACTTTTCTCGAAACATAAGATTCATATCGCATTCTACAACCGATTTCGCGCCTGTTTCCGTTTCCATCCCAAAGCCCGCTAACACTCAACAATGTGTAAAGCCACTTCCTAATTTAAGACGGGATTTTGCGCCTGTCAGTAAATCCGTGATGAATTGGATTCCATCCCAACAAGGATTGAGGCGTCTTCATGAGCGATTTGTAAATATTGGTCTGGTAATCGAAGTTAGAGATGCGAGGATATCCTTTATGTTCCATTGGGCCCTGGATTTGGAAGGATAATATGAAATGATTATGATTACCGATTGCACTTGTTGTTTTCCATGCCTTGACAAAGATCCGCTTTAAATCGGATTATGATGAATCACATACCATTTTCATCAGTAAATACAAAATTTGATGAAATTGTCAGCGAGAAAGAGAGGATTAATGTTTTCAACAAGGCCAATTTAGCCGATGAGAGCCTGGAAGGGGTAAGGAGGATTTCATGTTGATTGCATCGTTGTCGGGTATCTAGTGAACAGCGAATCTTGTCAAATTTTCTAGAACGTAAGGAAGGTAATAAAGAAAGAATACGGGCATCCAGTGGTATTTACCGATTCTAAAAGGAATAAAGGGATTAATACTATATTGCGAAAGATTATCGGTTAAGATTATTTAATATTTGGCTAGTGAAATGCTTGTATATCGAAGTATGTATTCAATTTTTAACATTGTTTTTTATAGCTCAAATGTACCAAGGATCATTGAGGAGAAGAAAACTAGTTCGCGCGTTGATAGTTGGAATGCCTCACGTCGGGAAACAATCTTTGATCGCATCCATGCGTAATTATGGAATTAACCGTGGTAAGTGAATTGTTTTACGCTCTTTGCAGCATGATATTTGAATGAGAGATTTAACCGTGTTGGTTTCTTAGGAAACGTACCCAATGTCAAGCAGAAGATTAGTGGATCAAACATTCAGGTCTGGCAGAATCCTCTCATTTACATTATGCATCCTACAGGTACGATTGTTCACACTTTGTTGAATCGCATACAAGAGTATTGTTTTTCAACTAATAATTTTTTTCTGCATTTGACTGTATATAGTTAACATCATACCGACCGTAACTAACCCAATAGATGTCTTGAAATTTGCTGTGACGAGTTACGTATGTTTGTTTATTAGCAGAAAGTTTAACACAATCAGCTGATTCGTCGTTGGTTCATGAATGTAGGTGGAATGTGTGATCAAGTAGCGGATCCATTACTTTTGGCTGACTACATATTATGGAATTTGAACAGATTTTCCGTATTTGAGTAAGCAGACGAGTCTATCGATTGTTTGATTGGTGTGCTTGAAAGGACTTGTTAACGAATTATCGCGTTCACTGTTATTTACCAATTTTTTTTCGCTAACGTCTTGTCTCGACAGATATGTCCAACGATGTAATCTCGCTTCTCCTACCGACAATATTTCCGAAGTGCTAGAGTCAATATCCTCTACCAAAGAGACTTCCACTGGTGACAAAGACTTGCAATCAGCGGCCAGGGAGTTTATTGAATGGTTTAGAAACGGATCATTAGGAAGAGTCACGCTTGACGACGTCTCAAATAGACCGACAGAAAACGACGATGAATCAAAGGATGTCAAAGACGTTGAAGGGACCATGTTAAGGAAGATGATGCGGGAAAGAAAAAAGAAATTTGTAAAGGATAAGTTGAGACAAGGTATACTGTGAAGATGGCTAGTGAACGGTCATGTGAAGTCAGCATAATACAATCAGTTGGAGTAAAGACAATAAGTGTGGACTTATGACATCGATCGTTGTCAACCTGCTTGATTCAATTACTAATTCTTCCTTTATGCCTCCACGTTTGGGTGGAATTTTGACTGATACGGAGTTTGCGTCAGAAATATTGATTGTATATTTCTAGCGTCTCATTTTCATTAGAAACCAAGTAGTAATTTTTATTCAATGCCCCATACCGATCACCATTCTGTATTGAAGACGGCGAACAATTTAGCGTATACCAGAGCATCCGCGATTTTGGGATTAACGATCCGCATATAGTAATTTGATCGCTTCGACCATTCAAATAAGTCGCCGTGGGAAGAAATTATTTCCACCCATGGAGATGGGATTTGCTGGCACATGATAATTAGTAATTTAGGTTAGTGCCGAAAGTGCAGGCAGCCCCTTGTTACAACGCGCCCTTGACTAAGATGAGTTTGGGAAACGAATGACCGACGACAGAGTAATAGGCAATGTATTTCGATGACAATTAGACTAAGTCTCGAAACTTTCAAGTCAGATCGTGCAAGCTTTAATTAGCACCTGATGAGATTTCTCTAATCTCAGTAGCAGTCTGGCATAAAACCTGTCCCCGTTTGATGGAGACGTAGCTCGGCAGCGAAGATGGTGGCAATTGGGAACATTAATCATTCGGTAATGAATAGGCTAACGGATAAGAACTCCGGCAAAGGCTGTGTCATTGATTTTATAAACGATGGATATGTTCTCTTAACGGAAATGCTATACTCGGTCAAATTGCATCATCATGTTCACTTGGACAAGCATTGCCAAGTTATTCTTTCTCTCCCTGATTCTCTATGGACGGTAATAATCAAACGAGCAAGAGGTTTTTATATTCAGTGAGTCATTCTCACAGTAATCACTAAATGTCTGTAGTGCGTATGTTACCGAATGGTACAATCCTGCGTCATCTCAAGTGCCCGATCGCAAGCCAACTGTATGATCAGAATGGCAACCGCTGTTAACACTTATGTTATAATAACTTTTCTTGAACACGCTTGCTGAGTAGCAAATGCACATCAATAAAGCACGTAGTCGCTGGGGGAACATTTCCTAACAGGCAGGCCAAGAAATCGATGAGTGTGTAGTCAAATCACTTCATGTTAGGTAATATTACATTACCTATAGCGGCTGAATGAAAAGTCTTAGTTGAATAACTTGGAGACAATTTCTGTTTCGTCCAAGATGGCTAACGCGAAAAACGTATCCTCGCTGCGCTGCAACAGTTCGGGTTACTATTTCTGATCCTAGTGAGGGAAGACAAAGCCCAAAAAGTTCTATCCAGACTTTATAAGATGACATCCCCAGCAGTTAAAGTATCTCGGTTTAATATCAAAGTACCTACAACAATTGATCTTTGACCGTCGATGGAATCAATGGATGCATTATCTATCTACATCGCTTGCCATTATAATCACGATCATGTATGTTGAATTCGAACTGGACAAATTTATTAAAAGGTTAGAAAAGTTGAAATAAATAGTTTTCGAAACCGTGATTGACAAAAATCAACGAACTTTCTTTTGACAAAAACTTCATTATCCTATATAATTTCCACCGCGTCGAGATGTCCATACTAGAAAAGCTATGTCCGCAAACAACGAAACAACCCCAATGACCAACAGCGCAATACCACCATCGTTTTGATTCTTATGCATGTCAGAGCACGAAATTTCGCACTCACTCTCTTCAAGCTCTGACATATCAGTAAGAAGGAATGTGCTTCGGCAATCCTCAATACAATTATACTTTGATGCGCCTGCCAATGCCAGCATTATAGTTCCACCTATGATAATCATAAAGGCAGTAAACGCAAATAATATTTCCTTGCCGAATCGACGTCCCATACTGTTATTATTATTATCGACGGGAGGAGTCACCACGTAAATGTTCGTCTCGGGAGGAATGTAGTCCGAGTTGTTAGTTGTATCTTTTATTTCCATCGTTGATAAATTATCCGAGGGCTTTTTATGAAAATGTCTAAGGTCTTTTGTTGAGTACCATCAATCGTTAGAGCCTGCAAAATACATCACATGAGATGAGTTGTTTCAGCCGCTGGTTTACCATGTTGAAGCAAAACGAAGCTTGATTGAAAAACGGCATACCAATTCTTATAATTACTTCTTAACCCGGTTATATCATCAAAAGTGACTGAACAACTGTTCGCCTTTATTCTTCTTGTTTCATGAACAAACGGCTTATAAGATAGTAGAAGTCACACAATCTTTGTTTGCGTCGGACAGGCTATTAAAGTCTACGCATGAAACCATCTCGGTGTAAACAAAGGGTTGAGAGTCATTATCTATTCGATCTGCTTTGTTTCGTACTACCAATTTAAATTGACTCATGACAATCATTGTGCATTGTTTATTTGAAAATGGTAGTTGATCGTTTCAAATGGACTCTAAAGGTGTTTGATTATATAGAGACAGTGCTACAGTACATTTTAGACTTTGGGGCACGCAAAACGTGACATTACTTAAAAAGCAATAGACTTTGCTTGCTTTGATAACATGATACATACAAGTTTTAATGGAATGTGTGTGTTTTTCATCGATTTTAGATAACGTACGTTAGATTTGTATTTTATTTATAAACGCCAACTGTTTTGTTAATTTAGAAAAAGTGCGAGATGTATCCACATTAATTTGTCTTTACGTTTATAAAGATAGTATTATATACAAAGATTGAATTACAAGTTATCTATCTGCTGCGTTAATGTCATAGATAATAATAATAACTCGAATTCATTGGTTGAAATTTGTCTGGCTGCAATACAAAGAAACTGTACCCCTATAATAAATCACTCAAAATATGTATATTCTGTAAAGCTAGAATAAATTATCTGGTCCATTCTGAGAATTGGGATTGTCACTAGTTGCTTCTCCAAAAATGTAATTGTAATGTGACAATCCCAAATCTAAGAATGGCCGTAACATTACGACCGATGAAATCGACCTGTAACACAAGACACTACACATAAATGTATCAAAAGTCATTTAACGATGCGATGTCGTTAGTTTTAGAGACTTGTACACCAATTGACAGCTTGATTCAATCCTCCTTGGAAAGTGAACGTAAAGCTTAAGGCTGAAATGGATTTCTTGCTCAGGTATTACCGACATGGAGCCAACTCAAATTGACAACGTCTACTACGCTATTCGCAAAAGAACGTCACGTCCATAACGATGATATGCCTTGGAAGCAATGAAGAATGTACATCATCACTTGTGAAGGAGTTTTCCAGAATATATTCACTTCCAACACGTGAGCACAGCAATAATGTCAGTCAATTTAGAAGATACAAAATATGGCTTAATATTAAGGAGCAACAGGCTAATAAAGGGGTTTATACCAAGTATGATGGTAACTATTACATGGTTGCTGATATAACGTTTCAGTGCTGTCATTCTCGATATTAATATGGATTCTGCTCCGCATGTGGACTACTCCGATGTGGTGCATCTGTGGACGTAAACAATTATCTGATGGATGGACGAGCAGCAATAAGCAACCCGATGAGTTATAAAGAAGACTTAGTCACAAACAAACTCAGCGAATGACGCCTATCTGGAATGGATTCCATACGATTGTATTGCTTATGATGTATACTTGTATGGTGGTGAATTGATTTCACTTGAGATACATGACTTATATTATGCCAAGGTAAATTATTTACGTTATTTGCCATGTTTATTGAATAGTTTAAATAATAATTGACTTATGTATTATTTCCACTAGTTATGTGATGTTCTTAGCACGGATGTTTGGGTTACTATCGGATTTACATACAAAGCAAGAGAACAAAAGTATTATCTCATAAAAGAACGATACGGAAATGGATTATGCCTGGCATGTACAAAACAATTAGGCACTAAGATAAACACATTCTGTTTTGAATGTAAAGCACCAAGATTTCTTGACTGGAATACGGGTAACAAGACGCTGGATTCATTCATTATGGAATCGTGGAATTATGGAGTTACTGTAAATGATGCGTATATATACAATGGATCGAGTATTCCACATTGATGAACGTACGAGAAATGACCTCATTACGCCCTGAATGCACACACGCATAACGAATTGGTTAGATCCAACGATAAATAAATTGATAAAAGTGACACTCAAGCAGATCAGTGATGCCCAGTCGCTTGATTATGATTTTCATCAGGTAAATTACTTTGTGTAAAATAATGTAAATGCAATTGGTAATTATAATTAGCATTGATTGTTTTATTAATTGTGTTGTTTATTCAAATATAAATAGTTAACTCTGGAATACCAATTCCTGATAATGTTTGGATAGTTGGAATTACTTAGGAACCGTCCACACAGAGATATTACTTGGTTTTCTACTATGACACACATACTACTGTACATTGGACAGGATTGTACAATTTTACGAATTTGAGTACATACAGTACAGCGACTTTGTAAACCAGCGTTTTTTAGATATAAGAACGGGCAATACGTTGCATGAGGATGATTTGATCAGGTGATCATTGAGTATTTTAGAACTTTATTGTCTAACTACAGATAACCACTAATAATATAGGAGTATAGTACCAAAGTTTAGAGAGGAATAAAGATTTAGTTATTATTATTAGTATTTTTCCTTTGAGAGATAAATTACAGGAGGATAGATGGTTAGAACTGTCACCGGTTTTCTTCGCGAGGCGGCTGCGTCCCCTCACCGTGACAATAGGGCTCTGTAATGTCGATGCTTAGTG